GATTTCCTTTAAACTACAAAACTGTACCCTACCCTAGTGACCCACTCTGCTTCAATTTTGCACCCTACATTGCCCCCAAAGCTAATCCATTCTCTAGAAGTTTCAGTTAAAAAGCAAACTACCCAAAGTGGGCATGCTTGCTGCCCCCTTACTGATTTCAGGTTGAGGGAAGCAAACTGTGCAGACCGGAGATTCTCAAGTCGCCACCAACAAGGATAGTTTGTACATTAATCTGAATTTACAACAGAGACATACAGTGGCAGAATATTAAGCATAGATTGGAAGCTATTCAAATAAATCTGTGTAATGTACACCATAAAGAGAAGGACTTTGAGCCCTAGAATGATAAATTTTGCCACTTTAAGGGGCAGGGGAGATTATTTCAACCTCTCATTTTATACTCACTTTCACAACCTTAATTTACTCATACTCACTATGCTTTTACAAATGTCTCTAGGGGCCAGGGATATAGCTCAGTGGCATAAGCGCCTGCCTGGCAAGCACAAAGTCCCAGTTCCATCCCAGGTACCACAAAAGCATTATCTCTGAACACACTTCTAGAGGGTTATTTACTTATTCACTGCCCTCTCAATACCCCCCACAAAAAAAATTAGTGTTTCACATGTGCCAAGCACTTATGCAAGCACAGGAATTCAGAAATAAACATGACAAACAAGAAAATAAGAGAATGTCAATTAATGATAAGTGCTTTAAATTATGGAGGTTTCTACAACAGAAAATGACGTGTGGAGACCAAGGTAGAGTACAGCTTGAGACTGTATAACGGAGGACACTGCTGAGGAGTTGATGGTTGAGGGAGACCTGAACCTGCGGAAAACTAAGAAATGCAAACAGCTGAGGACAGACTAGTACACACAAGGGCCCTGAGGATAAGCTTGATATGTTTGGCAGAGCCAAGAAAACAGCAGTTGGAGTGGAAGGAAAAGCAGGTGGTAGAAGAGGACGGAATCAGCAGAGGGCAGACCCCAGAGTGAACTCGGGTGCTGTTCAATCAGAGTAAGCCATTCCACGGTGGAAGACCAGTGCCGTGACATGGGCATCGCCTGAGAAGTGGTTAGAAACATCAGCCCTTGACCCTCGGCAGCAGCTGCACCGTAGACTCCCTCGGTTAGGTGGTGAATCTCAGCAGCTAACGTGAGGAGCTGAGACATTGCTTAGAAAACAGGGAAAGCATGTTTCTGGGTATGAGCACGAGGGCATCTTTTGTGGGCAGGGACCTGAGTGCAAAAGACACCCCCCCCCGAATGTGGGCAGCACCACAGGCTGGGACACACACACACATGCATACACACATACACAGGTGCATGTGAACACACTAACACACACAAGCACACACATGCAGTCATGTACATATGCACATGCACATGTATGCGCACATGCAGACATGCCACTCTTGCTAAACAGGTCAACTTGTTTCCTGGCTGTGGCCATCACCTATGGAATGCGAGTCCAGATTCCTCTGTCTTTGGACATAGACCTGAACCAGAGACTTTTCAGGGGCTCCCATGCCTTTCCCCTCCCACTTCAGCCACAGAAGTGGTCCCTCTTTTTCTGCGCTTTCCAGCTTTTTGGACCATGTAGCTATTGGTTCCCCCAATTCTCCTGCTAGCATTGGCTACTGGGAGACTTCTCAGCTTCTGACCATATAGCCTAACACATCCCATATTCTTTTGTATGTGACACACGATATAGATGCATACGTACTACATATACATGTAGTGCTTTAATATACTTATATAATATCTATTATAATATATAATAATGCATTTATATCATAGGTTCTTTTCCTCTGGGGAACCCTCATACAGGGGGCCTAACCATCTGCATTTCAGTAAGCCCCCAGGTGACTGCGATTAACCATTGAGTAGCATTGGCTTCAAGTAAGAATTAGCAGGAGCTGAGCTTTTAATCTCTTTGCTGTGGTGAAGAAAATCCAGTATTAGGTGATGGGAGGAAATGCCAGAAAATGAATTCAGAAAGCCTCAGTTAGAAATGATGAAGGCAGTAGAGATTGAAAAAAGATTTATCACATGGCATGAATAAATTATTTCAGCACTCATTTTCGCAAAGTAAATGATCTCTCTGAATAGCTAAGCGAATGAGTGAATGGATGAATTAAGGGGTAAAATAAATGTTGAAAGAGAAGTGTTTGAAGTAAGCGCTCCTTCTCCCTCACAAGGCACTTCCTCATCCTCTGCCGCAGCCGCCTCCATCTGGGATCCCTTGAACAGACGCTGCTCGCCTTCACGTCTAGGTCTCGGGAGACAAAAAAAGCCTCAGCGTTTCTCCAAGCAACCAGTATAAGAATTCAAGGAGCAGATTTTACAATCCTAGAATGTGATAATGAAATCTGAGCCCAGGGCAGATTTTTAAAAACAGGAAAAGGAGAATGAGAAAGTCAGTAGTCGGGGGTAAATCAAGACATTAAAATGAGAAGGGCGATCTTGCATGCTCTGTCACCTGGCCTCCTTCAGCCTCACAGTCCAAGGCACTAGGAAGCCAAGCAGCTTCAATCCTGATTATGGAACTTAAGGAAAGCATCTTCTCCCCAGCTCCACAAACTATGCAAACTAATGCTTGCCAGCTCTTACTGACCATTGCCTTAAGTCCCCTTAACTATAAGGAAACATGTTTCTTCTCATAGTGAGAAAAAAAGGCTTTAAATTATGTTTTCTTTAGAAAAACAACACATAAGTGTGAATCCATTCTAGTCCAAGGGTCAGTGATTTTAGTTGCACTGCATTTACAGTTTCAGAAAGATAAGAATTAGTAAGTTAGAGTCCAGATGGCAAAAGATATTAGAAAAGGAAGCCACATCGTGAGGGGAAAAGAAAGGAGGAAGACAAAGAAAGGCAAAGGTGACCACACTACCCCCAACTCATCTTTTATGACTGGGTCAGCCTTGGTATGCAGAAAGGGAGTGAGCAAAGGTGCTCCAACTACTTAGCCAACACTCAAGCCATTGGTTCCACTCAGACACCACTTTAGAACACAGTCAAAGTCTCTGTTTGCTTTATGTTGTGTCCATAATAAACAGAACAAAGAAAAGACCATTGACAGTGAACAAAAGAATTACCAGGGCCATGGTGATGCAGATAGAGAACAAAGTTGAAATAACTTATTGCCATTGCTCTTTTTGCTTGTTTGTTCTTAGGGCAGGGTTATAGGGTGTTCAGGGTCTCACTACTAGATCGGACTCATAGTGATCCACCTCTTTACAGTCTCCCAAGAGCTGGGATTACAAGAACACACCCAGTCTCAATTGCTGTCTCAGTGCACCCAAGGGACGGGGCTGGCACAGCAGGCCCAGGGATCAAACCCCCGGCTGCTGTGCCTGCTTGCAGGCACTTTAATCTGCTGAGCTATTTGGCATGCCTTGAAAGAGTTAGATAAAAGGTAACACTGACCTGCTAAAGGCAAAAGGAATGTTCTGACAATTATCAAAATATAGTTTGGATATCTATTTTGATCATACTATAAAGGTACCACTCCAATTATTATCTTAAAGTAATGATTGAGTTCTGAAATTGAAATATTTCACTAGTTCTTTAATTTCAAAACAGAGAAGGCATTGGCAGTTCCAGAAAATGATTTGAGTTTGACAACTGGTATTGTCCTAAAATTATTAGGGATAAGAATAAACAAAAGATCAAATAGGTGTATAGCTCTTAACACATGTGAGAAAGTGTTTTAAGTATATTAGCTAATTTAAATCTGCTTACCGTACTCTGAAGGTAATAAAAGGAATAAGAGTAATTAAGTTTTACTTTAGAATGTGTGAGAAAAGATAATTTGATGTTCTTTAGCTCCATTAAGATAAATTATGTGGAATCACTAATGACCTCAAACTAAAAGCCATCTCATAAGTTTAAATAATGTGCTTTCCCTAGTAGTGCACTCTTAAAAATTAATATGACAAAGCAATTCCCCTTGAAATGCAATTAACATAATCACAAGCACTTAAAGTATATGATATTATGCTAGGTATAAGAGATAATTGTCTTCATTCCTTCTATTTTATTAAAGAATAAAAACTACTAATGGCCAAAACTGTGTTCTTAATGCCAATGATGACTGTGAAATGTGACATAAAATGATTATTATAATATTTGAAGAAGTATTAGAATGTGAATCTTGACCAAAGTTCTCAAAACCTTATGAAGATAAATCACTAACAAATAGAAAAATACTAATATGCTGAGTTAAAATGTACATTGCATCTAATGCCTAAGAATTTAATTAAAAAAATAGACTCTATGAGAAAGTACATTTAGCTTTTTGCTGCTTATCATCGGTTTCCACCATAGCCAATCAAAAATGTACTTTGCATTCATCCGGGGTTTTGTTTACAAAACATTTTCATGGAAATGATCTCATTGAATCATTACATCTAATCTAATCCCTGATTAGTTACTACCATTATTACCACATTTACCAAAGAAAGAACATCACTATTTAAAAGTTGTATCTGCTGATCAGGGCTTGAATTCCTACTCTTTGACCTCAGGTCTTCCTACTCCACACCACATCACAACCACTGTGAAATAGGAGACCAGAAAAATTAAGTAGCACTGAGTCTAGCCCAGCCAACAATTCCCAATGAAACATGTTAAACTCACAGGGATTTTGATTAAGCTCTAGGTAAGAGTTCTACAATCCCACTCACAGCTTCCCAGTTGGCATCAATAAACCTTCCTAGGGTAGTAAAGAAAAATTAAGAGATTCAATCTTGAAATGAGAGGACAAGAACACAGAAGTGCAAAAAAGAAATCAATACTAAAAGGAATATTATTTGTAAAAAGTAAATACCAACAAATGAAAGGAATTCAATGCAAGGGGCCCACCTTGCCTTATCCCCACACTTTGAGAAATGGCCAGTATGAGATGGTTGGCCTGAGCAGCAGCACAACCCCCAGGAGCTGTGCTCGGGGAATCATCTTTAATTTGTTCCATTGATGACAAAGTCCATGTTTACTCACCCAATAACTTGATGCTCATAATGCTGCAATGTCCTCTTGAGAGTCTGCTGTATCGTCTGAGGCTACAGGATAATAACAATAACAAAAAAATATTATCAGCAAATCAGCATCATTCCCATTCTCAACATCATAAGCAGAGCTGTGGTTTCTGATTTATCTCAAGAGTTTTCACTGTAAACTATGAACCTACTTTGCACTGAGCCGTGAATTTCCTGATTGGAACTAATGAGGCATTCAGCAATCATCTAATTTTTCCAATTTCAAGTATGATAAAATTTCCTAGTCGTATTTTTTTTTTCAGTTCTGTTGAACCAGTGGTGAAGTTCAACACATCATTCACTGGATGCCTGCAGTCCTAGAGGGCCACGCGGGCCTTGGACGAGTGTGCTACAGAGACATAGGGTACTGCTCTTCCCATCACCCAAAAGCAACCAGAATGTGTAATGCCCAACAGAAATGAAAGGATACATCTTAATATTTTCCATACAACTTTTAAGGATGATCTAGCAAGTATAGTAGTAAATTGAGTGAAAAATAGTCAACTTCATAATGAGAGATAGTTTTAAAGTTAGAGCATCCTGTTCTTTCTGTCCTAAGAACACTGCATCTGAGGGGACAAATAGAAAAGCTAATCCAGGAGGCTTCAAGCAAATGGTCTTTCTAGAATCTTCTAGAGGGAACACAGAAAGGCGGGAGGTGACAGAAGCACTTATTTCAGTTCAAGACTAAATTTTATAATCCTCTTGTCTTCGTGACAGCCCAAAATACAGACTTTTTTCTTTAATCCTACATCAAGAAATTATTTTCAGGCTTACTTAGGCTACAAGGCTCCAACTTGGTGTTTTAGACTTAGAGGGAGCAAATGGGACACAAAGATTCCAGAACCTAGATCTTACTAAGAAGTTGTGACCAGAGAAACAACATTTTCAGTGTTGAGTTTTTCAAATAACAAAAAATTTTAGTTAAATAAATAGAAAAAGCTACCAAAGGCTTATCAAACTATCCATTCATTACAACCATAGCTAAATTTTCAAGAAAAGTTACTCTGCTGCACCATAACTTGGTAACTTGGGGTTACTACTGATTACACAAACTCGTCCTCCTAGAAAATAATCTATAGAAAACCCAACACAGTGCTGCTGCATAAGAAGCAGTTAATAAATATTCAATGCCTAATTCCTAATCCTTCCAAGTGACTGTCCTAAGGACACTTAATATAAGGGAGACCCCAGAGGTCTGTCAAAACTCCATATTCACACTTTTATAAAAATAATCAAGGGCTGGGAGATAGCTCAGTGGCATAAGTGTCTGTCTGGCAAGCACAAGGTCCTCAGTTTGATCCCTGGTACAAAAAAAGAATTGATATGACAGTCTCCCCAACATTCTTCATTCTTCAAACTATAATATCTACCTTGGTAGAAACAATTATTTTAAAGCCAGGGTAATGAATTTAAATTAAATAAGGGCATCCCATGAGATTGACTCTATATCCTACATAGGAAGACCTTTTCATGGTGAAAATCCAAGGTCTAGGATATATTCTTCACACTTTCCAAGCCAATACACAAATCAGTTTTAGTATCAGCCTTCAAGCATTCAAAGGAAAAATACAGAGCAACTTCTTTCAGCAACTGTTGTTCACTAATACCAGTCTAAAAAGATGAAGGGGAGCTCAGATGGGTTTAGATGTTTCTACTCATCAGGACAGAATCAAAGCACAGTAAATGGAATGCACCTAGAAAAGAAAAATCATACCTGAACCAAGAATCAATGAAGCGGCTAAGAAATGTAAAGAGAATGAAACACAAACAGGGTTTATAGTATGCAAGAAATGCATGGTTTCACCGTCCTACTCATGGTCAGACTAAACCAAATCATTTTCAGTCATTGCCTCAGCTCCTCTGCAATCTGGGCCTCTTGCACTGGTTTGGCAGTTTCTGAGCTAGGATAACTTTCCCTTTGGCAACATGCCCCAAAGCAGTGAATATCCTCAGAGGGATTATCCTTCCAATAACCTTGGGTCACAAAACATGGGACAGAAAGCAGGAACTGGAGTGTGCTGAGCCAGTTAAGACCAGAATGGCTTCACTGAGCAAAAGCACATTTATTTCCTCTGGTAGGAATTTCCCAGTCATTAAAAACCATGTGTTTGTGAAAGGAACTAAGCCCTTCAACATACTGACCTTTTTCCTTGGGTGAAGCAATTACTTCTACCACCAGCAGGAATTAAATTTATAGTTTCCAAAAACATTCAAGGGAAACGTTCTGTGGTAACAACCAACAATGCTGCAAGTTGGTAGAGCATTTATACACTTCCTCTTTCTTGGCAAAGTCAGGGGGTACATCCTAACAGCAGAGGGGCTATCTGCAGAGTATAGCCTGCAACCAAGAACGACTTCACCAAGTGCTCACTCCTTGGAGTGTCTTATTCCCCTTCTTCAGACATTGCCTGACTGCCTCAATCTCTGGCTTTGTCAGTGCCACCTAACTGAAAGCATGAAATGAAGACCCACTTATGGGCCAAATCTTTCGTTACAGTGGCTCCTACTTTGACAAGGAGAGCACTTATTGCTTCAACAAACCCCTGCTAAGTTCTCAAGCATGCCAGGGATACAAAGCAGGGGTTCTGAAGACACACAGTCATTCTCCTCTTGCCTTTGGGAGTGCATCTCCTTCGCTGTCCCTGACCAAGAACCCTCCTTAGACATGAAGAATGAGCAAAAGGGGAACCGGGAGGCCTCACAGCTTTAGAGCCTTGTCCTGGAGGATCCAAGAGACAAGGGTGAGGAGTGCAACAGAACCTGCTGCTACTATCATACAAATAAAATTAAGAAAGACTGTGATTGTTCTCGATGACTTTTCCTCCCAACTAAGTGACAGATGGTGACCTGACACAAAGAAGTACCAATAGGAAGAAGCGGGAAAGAGAAAGCGTCATACAGATCTTGTACAAGCAGTTTCTAAGCCAGAAGGTTCTACTACATGACAAGAGAAAGCCTTCTTCATTCTAGTCTCATGAGCAGCCCCAACTACTAGTTGACTAGCAGTGGCTGACGCCACAGACAAAATTTTATGCTTGTGAGAGGTCATGGGATCCAAGGAACCAGTCCGGAAATGGTCCCAGCAGAGATCACGATGCGATCCCTGAAGTGTGAGAGGAAGCAGCTCCCAGCAGCTGGCCTTGTGGGCCCAGACAGTGCTGGCTAGGCTCCCACGTAGCCCCTTCTCCAGATATCTGCAACAGACAGTGTGAGCATCATGTAGGAGGCAGGGGGTCAAGACTGCATTGCACGAGTGCGTGCGCATGTGCATGTGTGTGTGTGTGTGTGCATGTGCATGCGTGTGCATGTGTGTGTGTGTGTGTGTGTGTGTGCAATGAAGCAGAGTTCATTGCAAAATGCATGTTCATTTTGAGTTTACAGAGTTGTGCTAGGGGTTGGGGAGCCACAAGGTCACACAGAGCAGAAGAGAATAAGTCCCTTAAGTCCAGACTGGCTTCTAAGTTCATCCTCTTTGCACCAGATGCCTGGACAATCTAAAGCCTTGAAAACTTGTCATTAAGAAAAATAATAGTTCTACCTTAAAGAAACATCCTAAATAGCAACATCACTTTATTTAATTATGATAAAATGAGCAAGCAAAGTCAGAAACTAATAGGGAAGATACAAAATTACCAATATTACAAATTGATTGTATTCACCACTATTTCAGGAGGTTTTATTCTTTTTTAATATCAGTACAATCCCCACATTTCCCAATGCAATTGGTCTGGAGAGACCCAGTTGCTTCTAAAGTATACTCAGAGTCAGAACTTTTCATTTAAAGTGTAGATACAATGAACATGACCAACACTCTATAATAATCTTATCTGAGCAAATCAGCAGCAATGAGTGTAATTTCTTTACTCAAATATCGAGAAGTAAGAGATAATTTCATTCATAATTGCTAAATTCAAACAGTCCCTTTTAACTGTCTGTAACAGCTTATAATCAAATATAAACTTGTTAGACAAAGAACTATATTGCTTGAAGCAAAAATATAGGATTTTTTTTCATTTCCAAATAATTCACTCCAGTGCATTTTAGTCAGCATTCAGTCTTGTGCTGACAGAAAAATATAAAACTAGAGTAAGTATTGTGCTTTCTGCCCAGCACTACGTGAAGCCCATTCCATGTGTTATCTCCATTGGTCTTCCTGAAAACATTAGGAGGTGTTACTGTTTCCCTCGGTTTACAGATGAGAAGACTGGGACACAGAAATTTTAATTTGCCCTACGCAACACAGGTAAAAAACCAGGACGAAAAGCCAAGTGATGCGGCCCCCAAATGCAATCACATGATTTTCCACACACAGACACTCAGGTTTGCACTTGGTAAGCAGCCACAGCTTGCTTTCTGAGTACACATTATCCTAGTTCATCTCTGCACTGTTGCAGGGAAATAGACCAGTGTCACCGTTTGACTAAGAGTGAACCTAAGTGAGACTGGGTGATCTGCTCGACACTGCGTGACTAATGAAAAAGGAAACCCTCTTTTATAAAACCACATTCCCTCCTCGAGGAAACTGTCTTCGGAAAGCATTTTTAATGTAAACCCAAAATTAAAGAATCACATGTACTCAAATTAAGTTTCCTGAAAACACACCTTTAAATCACATCTATATCCAATAAGGAAGGCAATAGGCAAAACAGCAGAGAAAGACTGAGTAAATACACTTCTGCTTCCCCTTATCCTTCTTTCATCCCCTGCCCCACCTTTCCTTTCCCCCCCACAATCTGGGAACCTGGATCTTTATGGTACTTTCTGATAGGCAGCATAACTATAATCCAACTAGAATTCCCATCACCATACTCTGAACTCCCTAGATCAACTACACCCAAATCATTTTTCCAATGTTCTCTTTCATGCACATTTCCTGTCCCCTGCAGTCCCTTGATCTCAGACAGTGCTCAGAAAGAACCCTATCTCCATTCACTCAAAAAACTCAATCCTCAGTCCATACTGAGAAAACTGATGACCTTCTCTGCTGCAAACAAGATGGTCTCAACTTCCAGCGGTGGGAT